TTATCACATTAATATTTGTATCTATTACTTTTGATATTAAATTTTGTGATATAAACATAAAGTCTATTCTTGAATAATTATTATGTACAGAAAAATAATATGTAATCCTTCTTTCATTCCCCTTATATTCTCTCCGTATATCTTTTAAATCTGTAGCTTTCAATATCTTACTCAAGAGGGTACTTCTTTTATTCAAATCATCTTTTTTTACATACAGATTTGTCCTTTACCTCACTGGTTCTTACCCTTGGGTTACTCAGGAGTTTTGGACTGCAACTCCCAGAAGCCTTCACCACCAACTGTGCTGGCTGGGGTTTCTGGGAGTTGCAGTTCAAAAACATCCGAGTAACAAAGGTTAAGAACCACTGCTTTACCTTATCCAAAACCATATTGAAATCTCCTGCCATAATCACATATCACTTTCTAACCTTCTCCATCTCTTTAGGCACGGTTTTATAAAATTCTCCTTGGTTCATGTTTGGTGCATAGACATTTAGTAATGTGTAATCTTCTTCCCTCATTTTACCCTGTATTGCCAAATATCTACCGTTATTATCTTTTACTAATTCTTTTACTGCAAATTCACAATGTTTAGATATCAATATTGCTACTCCTTTGGATTTGGAAGTCCCAAATCCTTTTTCATAAATGTGTATATTTTGTAATTTCAGTTCATTAACTACATCCTTTGATTGATGAGTTTCTTGTAGGTAAATAATGTCCACCTTGTTTTTCTTCAGTAATGATTCTATTCTCTTTCTCTTTGTTACAGACCCTAGGCCTTTCACATTTAAAGTAGCTACCCTTATGTTTTCCCCCATGTCTGTTCTGCTTTCACGTTTAAAGTAGCTACCCTTATGTCTGTTCTATATTCTGTCTTTTATTCAATCCCGTTGTGCATCCCACAATACAAAAATAAAAACAAAAACATCCCCCCCAAAAAACACATTCACCTGGATCCCTACCTAATCTTCTATCCCTAACTTCCCTCTCTACATATAATCTCTTTCCCTCCCTCCCACTTCCCCGCACCTCACTAAGGTTTGACACAAGCTCTGCGAGGGAGGGAGGCATCATCCAAACCAGTTTGGGCCCCAGCCAAATCCTCATTCCTGTTTCACCCTACTCTATTTTTTTCTGTATAAGCCTATATTAATATAAATATTTTAAACCATACTTAAATGATAGAGGTTCCCATCCTTTGGGGTTCTGGGGAACATTTTTACATTTGAGAAACTATCATGGGCATTCCACAACATGGCTGATGCAAAGGCCTCGCTTGTCTCTGTCTGTCTGTCTGTCTGTGATCAGCAAGCAACCTAACCTCTGAATTGAATCCAAGAGCCAATCAGGATACAGGTCAAAAATTCCTATCTGGCCCCAGAGGCGACTGGATAAACTCACACTGGAATATAGAGTGGGTGGGTGGGTGCCAGAAAAGGAAGAGGGTGGGGAGCAGGGGGATCATCCCTTAAATAACCTAACGTTCCCTCCTCTCACCCGATTGCTCTCATGAGACTAAAAGGTTTCGCGTTATCCAGGGAGGGGGGCAAAGGCGAGCTGCACCGCCGAAGCCTTAGCTCAGCAGTGGCTCGAGCGTATGTACAAGTCCAGTCAACAAACACCTTCAGAAACGCACACCATAAACCCAGTTGATTCTGACTCAAAACATGAGACACATCCAATGCGCTCTGCTTTTCCTTAAGTCACCATCAGCAACTTGGTTCCCTTTGCAGACATTTGATCAGGTGGCTGGCTGCCTGGAAAGCCTATCACCAGCCTTAAAGTCACCATGCACCCTGCTCTGTTTTTCCTCTTCTCCATCCCATGTGGTCCAGAGGCATCCTGGGAAAAGGAGGACAGGCAGCCGGAGCCTTTTGTTTTCCTTTCTAGCCAGCCCAGTCAAGCATGGATGATGACTCGTGGTCCAAGGGATGTGGCGCCTCAGGTTTTAGTGGTGGACAGAGAGACCCCCTTCCCTGCTTGTACCACGGACTGTCTTAAGTTACCTTATTAGGAGATACTTAACAAAACAGAGTGTTTGATTATGCAGATTGCTAAATTTATTCAGTCACCCAATATCACATCTTTTATATTTAGCCTTGAAAAATACTTCTCATGCTGTGCTATTCCAAGTTTCTGCTTGACTGCTGTATATTTGCCTATTTTCAGAAGTTCCACTGTGAATCTCTGTTCAAGCCTCACATTTGAGCTTTTAAATGGCACCCACCTATTTCGTGGAAGATTAGCTTTCAGACTGTGTCATGGTATGGTGGTTCATTTTAAAAATGCTTATTATGATTTCCTCATTCTTCCACACTTTTTTGGTTCTGTCATGAAAACTCCTTCCCTTCCCTTCCTTTCTTTTCTTTCTTTCATTTTTCTAATTGTTTAACCTTGTCTATATGCTTCTGTTTTTTTTCCTCTTTTTGTGTTTCAGCACCTTTTCATCTCTGGTTATTAGCTCTGCTTCCTGTCATTTTTCTCTGCCATTTATTCATTGTTCCTTTTGATCATGGTCTCTGGCTTCCGTACTACGATCTTTTCCCACTTAAGTCCTCCTAGTCATGGCAATAACAGCTTCTACTGCTCTTTTCTCTCTTGTTTAATCTGGTCACCCCTTGGGCTGCTTTTTGTGTAGTGCAGCTGTGTCTTGAAGTAGCCAGCGGTACAGATTGCTTAAAGGGGGAATTTGTTTTTGTATTTTCAACTTGTCCTTGGCTCATGTTCAAGATTCTTCATCCTATGCTGCATGGAAACAGGAAAATCAAAGTGTATCCAGAGTGAGGATATAAACTGGAAATTTGCATGTGAAATGGTTCACATAGTCCATCAGCAGTGGATGCTATCAGGTGCCTTGAAGGCTGCCTGGACACAGTGCTGGATTGGACAAGGAAGAATGGACTGAAACAGAATCCAGAAAAGATGGAGATCATGTTGCTGGGAGGGTCCTCTCCCTGTCTGAAGGATATTTCCCCTAAACATGGGGGATTTACCCTCCCTGTTAAGGATCAGGTGTGCAGTCTGGGTGTGACCCAGTGCTGACTATGGAAAAACAGATCTCTACTGTGGTCCGCTTAGCCTTCTACCAACTTTAGTGAATTGCACCTTACCTATATGACAGGTCCCTGGCAACATTGGTCTACACTAGGCATGGGGCTGGAAAAAAAGGATCACGATATTCGTAAAAAAATAGCTGATTCATTAGATAGTTATCCCTTCATATTCGTCAGTTTCAGAGACCCTGACAAATATGAAGGGACGAATATTGCCCCATTTTTATTCATCCCCCATAAGAAGAGAGGGAAGGCTAGCCTTCCCTTTCTTCCTATGGCCTTCCCATTCTGCCTATGGGCCTGCCGATCAGCTGATCGGTGGACCAATAGGTAGCCAGCCAGCCCCACAGCTGCCACCCCACATCCGATCTCCCATCCCCTTCCTCTCCCTTCCTTAGCTGCTGCCACCATCTGGCGCTGCCGTCATCCATCGCTGCCCACTGCGGTGGCCTCCATAGCCACAGCCTGCAGTAAGGGACACTGGCTGTTTTTTGCCAAGATGGCGGCTGCGGCTTCATTTAGGGTAGGGAAGCTGCAGCTGCCATTTTTGAAAAGGACAATATGGATTCCCTTAGCCTGCCTTAAGGGAATCCAGGCTGCCCTTCGCAAAGATGGAGGCTGCAGCTTTCCTGCCCTAAATGAAGCTGCAGCTGCCATCTTTGCAAAGGACAGTCAGTGTCCCTTACTGCAGGCTATAGCGCCATGGTGGTGGTGGCAGGTTGTCAGTAGTGGAGTGGTGGCAACAGGAGGGCAGTGACAGTGGAGCAGCAGGGGTGGGGGGGCGGCAGGGCGGCAGCGAGGGGGCAGTGATTTTTTTCAGTACAACCTCTGGCTGCCTAACCCACCCATGAACTGAACTGTTGGTTCATGGGGGGAGCTTTGTGCTTCGTGATTCGTCAACTTTGTAGTCTAAACATTGGTAGTCTCAAAAATTAACTATTGCACTTTACATGGGACTTCCCTTGAAGCCGGTGCAGAAGCTCCAGTGGGTCCAGAATGTGGCGGCCAGATTGGTGGCTAGTTTGAGGAAGTTTGATTATATCACCCCAGTTTTGGTTCAGCTGCACTGGTTACCAATCTGCTTCCATGCAAAGTTCAAGGTCCTGGTTTGAACATATAAAGCCCTAGATGGTTTGGGTCCTTGCTGCTTATCTGACTGTCTTCTGCCAAGTTTGACTGCCTATCTCTCCCAGTCCTCACAGACCTCATGTCTGTGGGTGTTAACTCCCAGAGAAGCTTGGAAAATGGCAGCCAGAAACAGAGGCTTCTCTGTAGTGCTGTCTATATGGAATGCTCTCACATAGGAAATACAGCAGGCAGTATCCCTCCACATCTTTAGAAAGCTCCTAAAAACTATTCGGATAAGTCTTTGTGGGGAATCTCTTTGAACAGCTTAGACATTGGAAGAAGAAAGACAGGAATGATGCAATATTGTAAAATGTTCTGCAAATTGTTTTGCTGCATGTTTTAGATTACAATTTATGTTTGTGATAGTTTATTGTTTATATTATTATACATGTACATTTAATTTGTTTGTACACTGCCCAGAGTAGCAATTTGTTAGATGAGCGGTGTATAAATCGAATGAGTGAATGAATGGCAATATGTGAACATCTGGTCCCCAGAATTTGTTCACAACTGCGCTAGCAGCTTTTTTGAACTAGCAGCTTGAATTGAATGGAAATCAAAATGGTGGGGGGAAAGTATGATTAATTTTTTTTCTTTAAATTTCTGAGACAGGTGTCACCCCATATTTCTCCTGGGAGTGCAAAGTAGTCTCAGGAATCCCAGAACATAAGCCACCCTCATCTAAAGTCCACTGCATTACTTTCCTTAAATGGCCATTTTCATTTAATGTGTTTCAAAGCTGATTGTTTCACCAGCTGGGAGTAAGAAGACAAATACAGACATCTTCTAAAACATTATTTTCATCTTGTGTTACAGAAACAGGATCTTCAATAACAGCTTCCTGCATCGGCTTGGGAAATTCTTTAACACCTTCCCCAGGACAGACAGGAAAACGAGTGCCAGGATACAATGGTAATATTGCAGAATAGAATCATAGAATCATAGAATCATAGAAAAGTGAAGTTGGAAGGGACCTACAAGGCCATCAAGTCCAACGCAGAAATACAATCAAAGCATATCTGCCAGGTGATTATCCACGTTTTTCTTGAATGCCTCCAGTGTTGGAGCACTCACCAACTCCGGAGGTAACTGATTCCACTGTTGTACTGCTCTAACAGTTAGGAAGTTTTTCCTGATACTCAACCAAAATCTGGCTTCCCTTAACTTGGCCCTATTTTTGAGTGTTCTGTACTCTGGAATGATCAAGAACAGATCCTGCCCCTCCTCTGTATGACAGCCTTTCAAATATTTGAAAAGTGCTATTATACCACCCATCAGCCTTCTTTTCTCAAGACTAAACATGCCCATTTTTTTCAGCTTTTCCTCATAAGACTTGGTTTGGAGCCCCCTGATTATCCTTGTCACTTTCCTCTGAACTTGTATGCCGTTACGATAAAAGTTTTGGTTGGTTTATTCTTTGTAAGCTCTTGGTTCATTATAGAGTGAAAAAACAAAACTTTGTTTAAAGTTGAAAGGCTGCTTTATTTGATAGTTGAGAACTAAGCTAAGCAAGCTTTGATTGGTCTTCCTTAGCTGCTTTAACGTATCTGTTCAGTAGTACCAACGGTAGATGACCAACAAGATAGATCCCCATATAATAGACACTTCCTGTTCATTTTCTTGTCTTATCCAATTTAGAAATTATACAGTTCCCCAATAGTTTCTGAAGTTGCAGTAGCCTCCATTCACAATCACCAGCAGGTACCACATAGTGGCTGACATCCCCTTGGTGAAGTGGAGCATTGTAAATGCTGATGATATCAATAGTAGGCTACGTTAATCTTTAAATTTAATTTAATTTAATCTCAAAATCACTGCTGCTGATTCTGGTGGTGGTGATTTTTAGATAATAAGGGCTTTCTCCCTTTCACTCCAAGGTGTCCAAAGGATTTGGCTAAGGAGCACTGGAACCTGGTGGCTGAGGGAGAGATAGGAAGTTTTAAATAAAATAAAATTAAAGATTAATATCACCTGCTGGTGACATCATCAGAATTTTTGACATGCAGGTCTGCTAACAGGATTTCAGCCAGTATAACATAGATGGATGTTAGTTCAGTTTATGCCCAGAAGTCACCGATGCATATAGTAGGAAAGGGGAATCTCAAACCCTTGAAAGCTTCTGTGCTTTCCCCCAATCCCACCTCCTGTACTATGGAAAGCATGGGAGAGGAATCCCTTCTGTTTGCCTGATCAATAGTCAGAGGTGGAAGTGGGGATTCGCCTGCATGCTGCTCCTGGTTCATCTTCACTGCTGCCATCTGAGCCTCAGCCTGGGGCTCCAGTTGCAAACATCACCTAAGAGCTTTTCCCTGCCTGAGAAAGAGAGAAGGTAGGCAAACCCTTGTTCCCAATCAGAGCACAAAATGACAAAATGTATCAGCACATCATTTGTTGGACCAGTCTTGCCCATCGTCCTGATGTCATCTAGGTCACAGAGGCCTGTGTGATGGCAGAGAAGGGACATTTTCCACCATTTAGGTAACTACATGTGGGTTATTGATTCCATGTGCAGAAAAGCCTTGGGAAGTCAGTTGTGGGTTGAATTCCGTAACATCAGAGAGAAGGGTGGGAAGAATTGGATCTGGAAATGTAATACTGCTTCTGCAGTCACCAATCAAGGGTATGCCTGAAATTTGAATAAGCAAACTGGGTCTGCTTTATGGTACAAGAAATGTAACAGAAAATGCAAACTATTAGGTTTGTGTCATCCTAATCCAAAGAATCATAGAAAAGTGAAGTTGGAAGGGACCTACAAGGCCATCAAGTCCAACGCAGAAATACAATCAAAACATATCTGCCAGGTGATTATCCACGTTTTTCTTGAATGCCTCCAGTGTTGGAGCACTCACCAACTCCGGAGGTAACTGATTCCACTGTTGTACTGCTCTAACAGTTAGGAAGTTTTTCCTGATATTCAACCAAAATCTGGCTTCCCTTAACTTGGCCCTATTTTTGAGTGTTCTGTACTCTGGAATGATCAAGAACAGATCCTGCCCCTCCTCTGTATGACAGCCTTTCAAATATTTGAAAAGTGCTATTATACCACCCATCAGCCTTCTTTTCTCAAGACTAAACATGCCCATTTTTTTCAGCTTTTCCTCATAAGACTTGGTTTGGAGCCCCCTGATTATCCTTGTCACTTTCCTCTGAACTTGTATGCCGTTACGATAAAAGTTTTGGTTGGTTTATTCTTTGTAAGCTCTTGGTTCATTATAGAGTGAAAAAACAAAACTTTGTTTAAAGTTGAAAGGCTGCTTTATTTGATAGTTGAGAACTAAGCTAAGCAAGCTTTGATTGGTCTTCCTTAGCTGCTTTAACGTATCTGTTCAGTAATACCAATGGTAGATGACCAACAAGATAGATCCCCATATAATAGACACTTCCTGTTCATTTTCTTGTCTTATCCAATTTAGAAATTATACAGTTCCCCAATAGTTTCTGAAGTTGCAGTAGCCTCCATTCACAATCACCAGCAGGTACCACATAGTGGCTGGCATCCCCTTGGCGAAGTGGAGCATTGTAAATGCTGATGATATCAATAGTAGGCTACGTTAATCTTTAAATTTAATTTAATTTAACAGAAAATGCAAACTATTAAGTTTGTGTCATCCTAATCCAAAGTTCTACACCCCCTTCTTTGTGTGCAAAGACTAACTGGTGTACTGTAATGTGAGTTGTCATGGTCAAGTCTATTTGTTATTGTACATTTAACAGCACTTGTTTATTCACACCGTGTAAAGATGCTGCTGCAGAATGTCGTATCTATAGCCTCTATAGATATATTTTAAGGTCCACAATGCCCTTTGAGCTCAGCAAGTGTACAACCATGTTAAATTTAAACTTGCCTGATGTCCACTTTTATCAGTAAAACAGTCTTCTGCTGAAGAAAGGAATGTTAAGCACATTATCTTGAACTTTCAGCATTTTTCTTTTAGCAGTAGAAAATACAGTCTTTGAACAACTATGAAAGGCAATAGCTGCCTCTGGTTCGAAAGACAATTGAAGGCAGAACAGAACATGTGCAATTGTAAGATTAGGAATGTTGGAATAAATTCATAATTTCTCACTGACCAAGAATACAAAATATTAGATATTGCTCTTCACATGTAATTAAGATCACCTTAGGGCCACTTCAGTTGAATAAGAGCTAGTGAGTTGGAAAACAGAGTTGAATGCTTTTATGTTAAGTAAAAAAAAAATCTGCAGAAAAATGATTTTTAAAAAGTTAGAAACATTTTTCTTGCCAAGCCTTGATAATTATTGGGTTAAGACATAACTGTGCTTAATTAACTATGTTTTATTTAGCCAAGAACATGTGTTCATTCCCCCTCATATTTTTCCTTCATCCATTAATAATCATAAAAATAACTGTATGCCTTCAAGTCGATTCTAGCTTACGGCAACGTTTTCAAGGTAGAGAGTACTCAGAAGTGATTTATCATTGCCTTCTTCTGCTTCATGTGTTGTGCCTCCCCCCTTCTTTTGTTTAAACCTGGATGCATCTGAACTGGGGAACAAGACACTGTGTTTTAAACATCCATCATCGAAACTTCAATGCCAGTATAGGAGGGAAGGAAGTGTGCAGGTCCAGTGCTTGTTTCATTTTAGTAAATCAATCCTTGTTAATCTGAGATCGTTATGTTTGAACCAGCTCTGTGTGATGGGGAAAAGGGTGTCTGAGTGCAGTCTTTGTCTATGCAAAGAAACAGATATGACAGCAGTTGCAGTCTGTTTTCCTCTTATACGCACATAATCTTATATACATTCTTTTCAGAGTACTGATGAAAGGGTTAGTAAGTCTTCATCTTTTGCTTGTCATTTTAAAGGACATAGAGCTTTAATAAATTATGTAGATGCTGGCTCTTTTCTACATGCTGACTACAGCAGAATGAAGGTTCTGGCTCAATGAGGGAGTTCATGTTAAGAATTCCAGGTTCAAAAGAAGTTAAGCTAAAACATACTCATTTATGGTCCAGCCTGCCAAAATCCAGGCTATGGTGAGGCACAGAAAGATTGAACAAAGCAAGATAAAACAAAATCCCAAATACTGTACTGGGAAAACAATGCAACGTATCATGGAGCCAGAAAAGGCAGGTCAGGAGTTTAGGAGGAAGATGGCACACTGGAGAAGTCTGTTGAGTAGATCAAGCTAGAAATTAATAAGAATGGAACTCAAATGTTGCTTCAACAAAAGTAGAAACAGGCTGGAAACATATTCAAAGAAAATTGCATTTTCTGTTCCTGCAGTGTTATTTACTTTGTGATGCTTGTTTGTGCAATCAGACCTATAAAGGAAGTTTCTTTTTACATTTCAGTCATTGATCGATCATGGCTGCAGTGTTATTTACTTTGTGATGCTTGTGTGTGCAAGAAAGTTTCTGTTTACATTTCAGTCATTGATCGATCATTATGTATGCTCATGAAGTCCTCTGATATTCCAAGATTCAGTTCTTCTCATCTGTATTGCTCTTTGCTGGTGTCATAGAATCTCAGGGCTACGTTGCTCTGTCCAGCAAGAATTAAGATGCTTTACATTGCAGAATCATTTGGTGAAGAATGTGTTAGGAGGAGAGATGGTATTCGGATTACCCTGTCTTTTGCTTACAAAGTTTTCTGCAAAACATAGTTCTGTGCTTTCTGAAGAGAAGAATGTCCTTTTTAAAAATAGCACAGCAGTGGATGCAGGGGGTAGGGTGCTCATGTAGGTATAACGGTCCTTTCCGTCACTGTGTCATTTCTTTCTGTGATGAGGAACTGAGGAGCAGATTTGCAGTCTCAAACAGCTGAAACAAAGCTGGAAAAATGAAAAAGGTATGGCTGGGAGAATGATTTTTTTGTTGTTGTTGCTGGTGGTTCGTTTCCCCCCCCCCATTAGATATTCCGGAATTTAGGGGGCTACAGCTTCCTAGATGTGGGATTACTGTAATATCTACTTCTGGCCCAAGACTGAGGTTTAAAAGGAGGTTCAAAACAGCCTGACAAGACCTGCTTTAGATTAAAGACGTCCTTTCAGTCAAAGAGGCCTTGCTTGTTTCAGCAGCTGTTGATTGAAGTGGTGAAGAAAAGTTCAAAATGACATAAAGATGTTGGACAAATGGGCTCTCCCTGTGCTCAACCTTCTGTGTAGGCATCCGTCAATCCCAAAAGACTATGGTAACGTGCTCTGAATAGAGGTCTTGGAACAGTGTCTACTGTGTCTGAGAAGGCCCTTTCAAGAGTGACAGTCCCTTCCACACTGATGACAAATACAATCTATCCCCTGTCCACCTCCCTGATTTTGCTGGTTTCTGGACTGCCTCTTTGCCTTGGCCTGCTGGACAAGTGCCTCTTCAAATTGGGAGAGGCCATGCTCCTCCAGGCTGAACAGTCAGATGTCAACGTTTCCCAACTGTTGAGGTCCATTCCTAAGGTCTTCAGATCCCACTTGCAGATATCCTTGTATTGCAGCTGGGTATCTGGGCCGCTTTCCCTGCACTAATTCTCCATACAGGAGATCTTTTAGAATTTGACCATCAGCCATTCTCACAACATGCCCAAACCAATGTTTATCCAGCTCAACATTTAGAGAGAGTCAGAGATCTTTGAGCTAAGGTACACAAAATGATGAACAACCTCCAATTCTTGTGTAGAGATGGTAATAGAGGGAGGTGAGTCCACACCCTGGCCCATGACTTGTGTTTTCTTCAGGCTGATTGTTAATCCAAAATTTTGGCAGGCCTGGCTAAAACGATTCATAAGTTGTTGAATTTGGCAGAATGGGAAACAGCAGCTGCATCATCAGCGAAGAGGAAGTCCCGCATGCATTTCAGCTGGACTTTGGTCTTCACTCTCAATCTAGTGAGATTAAAGAGCTTTCCATCTGATCTACTCTGGAGATAGACACCTTCTGTTGCAGTTCCAAAAGTGTGCTTCAGCGTGACAGCAAAATAGATCCCAGACAGAGTCAGCATTAGGACACACTGTTTCACTCCGCTTCAGATGTCAAAGGGATCTTATGTTGAGCCATCGAAAACTACAGTGCCCTTCATTCCCTCATGAAAGGACCTGATGATGTTAAGGACTTGAGGTGGACATCCAATCTTGGGAAGTATTTTAAAAAGGCCATCACTGCTAACCAAATCAGAGGCCTTTGTAAGATCAATGAAGGCCACGAAGAGTGGCTGTCATTGTTCCCTACATTTCTCCTGCAACTGTCTGAGGGAAAATATCATGTCAGTGGTGGATCTATTAGCTTGAAATCCACACTGTGATTTTGGATAGACTCTGTCTGCAAGTACCTGGAGCCTCTTCAGCACAACACAGGCAAGCAGCTTTCCTACAACACCGAGAAGAGAGATACCATAGTAGTTATAGCAGTCGCCTCTGTTGACTTTGTTCTTGTACAGAGCTTTCCTACAGCACTGAGAAGAGAGATACCATAGTAGTTATTGCAGTCGCCTCTGTTGTCTTTGTTCTTGTACAGTATGATGAAGTTTGCATCCTTCATGTCCTGTGGTACTCCACTCCAGCAAAGACAAAAGATTTCATACAGCTCAGTGGTAATTATCTCTTTACAGCACTTCAGCACTTCAACAGGGAAGTTATCCTTCTCAGGTGCCTTGCCAGAGGCGAGGGACTCCAAGATCACATTTATTTCTGCTGAATATCTCTTTACAGCACTTCAGCACTTCAACAGGGAAGTTATCCTTCTCAGGTGCCTTGCCAGAGGCGAGGGATTCCAAGGTCACATTTATTTCTGCTGACGTTGGTTCACTGCTGAGATCCACTGTTCCACCTGCTGCAGGGAGTGAAAGAATCCTGTCTCTGCAGCTCCACTCTTCAACAGGACCGGTCACCCTCATTAGTGCATATGCACCAACATATGCATGTTCTTTATGACAGAAATCAAAGACAAATTCTATGATGATCTGGCAGCTACTATTAAAAAATCCCTGTGAGAAAGCTCACCCTCATTAGTGAATATGCACCAACACATTCATCTATGACAGAAATCAAAGACAAATTCTATGATGATCTGGCAGCTACTATTAAAAAATCCCTGTGAGAAAGCCATTTTCAGAGACTTTAACGCTAGAGTTGGTGCTGATCAAAATTCATGGCCCGCTTGTCTAGGCTGTTGTAGCATTGGGAAAATGAATGAAAATAGCCAACACTTGCTGGAGCTTTGCTGTTATTGTGGTCTTTGTGTCAGCAACATGTTCTTAAATATGAAGCTTCAACACAGAGTCTCTTGGAGACATCCACAATCCAAGCATTGGCATCAGCTCAATTTGATCCTCACTAGATGCTCTAGCCTTTCTAGTATTATGATCACATGCAGCTATCAGTATCACAATCAGGGTGCTGATTATGATACTGATCACTCCCTGATGTGTAGGAGAGTAAAACTGTGAATAAAAAGATTGTATCACATGAAAAAGGAAGGAAGACCACATATTGACCTCAGCAAGACTCACAATCAGAGAAAAGTGGAGGAATATGCCCAAGCGCTTCAGGAAACCTTTCCAGGCCTGGCTGATGCAAATGCACGTGAACAAAGGGAACATTTCAAGAATACTGTTTATAACACCACCTTGTCCACATTTGGCAAGAACACCAAAAAGATGGCAGCGTGGTTCGCAGTCCATTCGGAGGAGTTGATGCCAGCCATGGGGGAAAAGAGGAGAGCCCTAGCAGCATACAAAGCCTGTCCTAGTGAGTACAACTTGCAGGTTCTTTGAGTTTCTCATAGCAAAGTCGAAGAGACTGCCAGGAGATGTTCTAATGATTATTGACTTCAGCTCTGCTCTCAGATACAGATAGCAGTTGACACGGGTAACATCAAGGGAATGTATGTTGGTATCAAGCAGGCTTTAGGTCCAATACAGAAGAAATCTGCTCCTTTGAAGTCTGCTACAGGCATGATCATCCAGACCTGAACACAGCAGATGGAATGCTGGGTGCAGTACTACTCTGAGCTATATTCTAGAGAGAATGTAGTAAGTGAAGAAGCATTAAATAACACTGAGTGCCTGCCTGTCTTGGAAGAGTTGGACAGTGAACCAACTTTAACAAAAATCAACTTTCTACTGCACCATTAATTCTGAGAGCAATTCCCCTTATCTTTTGGGAAAATATGGAACTGACCCTCTTCTGCTTACCATTAGAAGCAAGGTTTGAGTTTTGCTTTGAGATGAAATGGTGTGGAGAGTGAGTGGAAGGACTGGAGTAGGATAGGATAAAAAGTGCAGTAGCTACAAACATTTTTATACATATATTCCAAGTTTTAAAAATGTAAGAACCCAGTGTGGGTATAGTGAGTAGAAGAAAGGACTAGAACTCAGAAAGCCTGAGTTCAAATTCTGTTTGACCATGGAAACCTACGGCTATGTTTATATGAGTAACTGGCAAAGCCATTCCTTAAATATCTCACTTGCTTAGAAAGGCCTATTAGGGTTGCTGTAAGTTGGTTCTGACTTGTTGGCATATAACAGAACCGATAAAAGAATAGCAAAAACGTGGTGAAAGCCCAGGATATTAAGCTGTTTCATATAACATTCACGTAATGTTTGAGCTACACCAGATGTTTTTTTAATTATCTCTGTTTGGTAAGTTTTTTTCTATCTTAGAAGACAAGGGGATGGGCCAGGTGTGGCATATGGACTCCAGTGGGGTCTCCTTGCAGATCATAGTCCCCCCCCTCCGAGCTTTACTGGAAAAATAATAGCACAATGTTTAAAATTGCTTCATCAGTTCCAGTTTTTTTTGTTATTTTTATTTATTTATTTATTTTGGAGGGGGAGTCTATTTCACACCTCTTGAGACTTTATGGGGCGTCACTTGCCATAGTTTTAGAGTTGTTTTCTGCATGGGGTGAAGGGATGATGCAGCCCTCTGAGCCAGGGGACAGGAAAAAAAAGGACCCCAGCTTCTCAGATGTTGCTCATTCCTGGGCTAGGCTGTCCAATTCCATTTTATTATCTGGAGAGTTTTTTTTTTAAAGGCTATTTATATTACAGCTTTGCATGTCTTTCTCCTCTGAGTCTAAATGTTAAAAATCATTTCCAGTCTAGTTTTCAAACATCGACCCTAAGATTATCCAATATGGACACTGCAAATGCATATAATTTTTTTTCTCACTTATGTTTGTCAGAACAATTAAGCTTCAAGCTCTTATGTCTGCTAAAGTGCTAGTTAGAGTTGAAAAGGGGAGGATAACCTTGTTCTTATGACCTCTTCTTGTACCCTTTCATTGCAGTGATGATTCTGGATGACAACAAGCAACCTGTAAAAGCGAAGACTTTAGGAAATATTGTGGTGAAGTAAGCAATTCATAACTTTGCAAGAAATGTGTAGTTTGGGCAATGGAGGTGGAGGGACAGTAGGAAAAATGTGGCTTAATAATGATGGCTATAGCTTTTGTGGCTGAACACATGTGTGACATTTCTACCTACTACCAGGGACATTGGTAAGTCTTGGGATTCAAGTCTCAAGTCCTTGGTATCAAGTCCCAAGCCTGAAATTTGAGTTGTGAGTTGCTTGCCCTACCCCTCAAGGCTTAGGACACAGGACTTGGTACCAAAGATTTGGGCCTCCTGCTGCCCACCTCCACTGCCATTGGTCTACTTCCTGCTGCTGCTAGGCCATTGCCTCCTCTGATGTACATGCTGACCAGATGATAGGCAGCATAGACAGCCGCTCTGAAGCAGGAGGAAGGCAGAGGGCCTTTCACAATGACACTCTAGCCTGCTGTACTCTGAAGACAGGTCCTCTGACCTGTCTATTCCTGCCTGCTGTACTCTGAAGGCAGGTCAGAGGACCTGTCTTCAGAGTACAGCAGGGTAGAGTGTCATTGTGATGCTCTATGGCAGGCTGGAGTATCACCATGAAAGACCCTCTGATGTGCTACACTGAAGATGGCAGTGGTGGCAGCAAATAGGCTGGTGGGAGCAGGAGGCCCTACGGACTTGACAACAGGACTCAGACAAGTGGATCTGAGTTGCAAGAAACTCCCAAGTCAAGTCCAACTGAAGTCATGGGTGTGACTTAAGTGTGACTCAACAGTGAGTCTCGGGTCAGTGTCCCTACCTCTGCCCATATAAGACAGCCAGGCCTACTGAAAGAGGCAGGGCATCTCTTTTGTCTAGTAGAAGTAGGAGGAGAACATTTCAAATGTTAACATTAAATTGGGAAAGGATTATGTGTTACAATAAATTTGTATTACTTGTGACATTAGAGCATTCCTTTATTTTGCCAGTTCAGTGATAGAATTTGAAAAGTTCTGAGTTGCCAAGAAACAGTCTCTAAGGAATTACTTACTTGGCTTATCAGGAATCTTGCAAAGGCTGGTTGCTGCTTCATTGATCTGCTGCAGTGTCTGTAGTTGTTCCACCTGGAAATATTTGAAAGGCAACCCCGATTCAAGGACAGTTGCATATGGAGCTTAACTGGAAAGGAAAGGTCTGTACACTGAAGGGTGCTATTACAGAGCAGGAGAACTGAGGTTTTTTTGTAGGTAAATGTAATTTCTCTGTGTAAAAAGTCACTTTACCTGGAGACTGTGTAAAGGTAGACAGGTGTTTCTGAAAACTGCTAATTGTACTTGGTTGCCCTTTTGTTGCTTCCAAATCCTGTGATTCAGAACTGGGATGTGTGTCAGATCTTTTCCTGTTTGCTGCTGAGATGTCCTTGTCATTGTCTTTGTTACAGAGAAGGTAGTCTGTGTGGTGTCTTGCATTCCTTTAAGACAATCTGTTCTTTCAGATTTCTTCTTCAATACACAACTGAGAATCTAATCCAGCAAGTTACTGTCTTGAGACGTCCTCTTCTTAAGACCATTCCATTCATTAATCAAATGGTCTATAGACCATTGATAGCAAAGTGGAAAATCCATATCTTTAAGAGAGAAGGGGGCCATTGTTTGTGCCCTACCCCTGTCCCCCAAGGCCCCCTGTGTGGAGCATAGATATACTGGGGGATAAAATCTTTAAGTACTAACTTTTCTATGTGCAGACCTTGGTAGGAGCTGGAATATCCTGTGAAAACCATTACATGTAATTGTCACTGATTTACAGATTGTTCACATTTTCATTGAGTATTTGCCATAACTAATGTATTTCTAATAGAGGCATACTTCATGTAGCAGTCAGCCCATCATTTTCTCGTGCACTTTTTCCGTATTAGCACATTGTGTTCTAGGCGTGAGAATTAGCTAGCTACTTAGCAATAGTAACATCTTACATCTTGTGCACTATTGGAGCACTGACTGGGTTTCTTGTCTTCCTTTCTGCTTTCCTGCCCTTTTCAGCTTCCACTGCTTCTGCTTAAGATCTGATTAGGCTTCTGCTACCATGATACATGCCATTTGCATTTCTTCGCAGACTTACAGGTAATACTGTGGAGGTGACTGTTCTTTTGCTCAGCTGGTTATTACTGTTTGGCTTTAGTGTTTCCTCTTGTTTGGCATTACTCATAACAAGCAGTTGACACAGTATTAATGTAACTAATGGTCTAATCAACCCTGAGTGCTCACGGGAGGGACAGATCCTGAAGCTGAGGCTCCAGTACTTTGGCCATCTCATGAGAAGAGAAGACTCCCTGGAAAAGACCCTGATGTTGGGAAAGTGTAAAGGCAAGAGGAGAAGGGGACAACAGAGGGCGAGATGGTTGGACAGTGTCATTGAAGTTGCCAACATGAATTTGACCAAGCTCCGGGAGGCAATGGAAGACAGGAGGGCCTGGTGTGCTCTGGTCCATGGGGTCACGAAGACCTAACTTTGGATCAGGAGGAAAATGAGATTGAAATAGGATTAAAATCAATTTGGGAACATGATTTAAAGACAGAAATTAGAACAGAGGATTGGATAAAAATTTGGGAGAGTTTTAAGATTAATGTTGGTAAGAATAAAGGAAATTTTTTTAAAAAGTAGTTTAAGGTGGTAGATGACTCCAGTGAAACTGAACATAATAAATTCAGACTATTCTAAGGCCTTTTGGAAATGTGATGAAGAAATTGGCATGCATTATCATATGTGTTGGGAGTGTAAATTGATTCAGAAATTTTGGAAATTGATTTTTAAGGAAATATGTTATATATTTGGGAAAAATATTGAATTTAACTCAAAAATTGCTTTGCTGTCAATTTTTGATAAGATAGAACTTGATTATTACTGAAAGGAATTGATTTCTAATTTTATGACAAGTGATAGATTATTAATAGCTAGGTTTTGAAAAGACAAAAATGATATTAAATTAGAAGATTCGTATGGTGAAGTATGGGACATTGCATTAAATGATAAATTGACTATCAAACTTAATATAAAGGGGGAGAAATAAGTTTGAATATTTTTACGGTATTTGGGGTAGATTTATTAAATTTGTATTAGTGAAAGGAAAGGGGAAAGCCTCTAAGCAACAATCAATACAATTTTGGAAAAGAGGTTCGTAATAAAAGAATTACTCCAAAGGGTCCCATGGGTATGTATGGAGGTGCACTGGGTTTTAGATTGTTAGTCAGTATTTTGTATTATTTTGTGTTGATGTATTTGTTTTGGAAAATAACAATAACAACAACAACAATAATAAAGGATTTTAAGCTGTACAATTTCCACACTTTGCCAAGGAGATAAACATGTATTAATTTTTGGAAGCTAGCAAAAGAATGTTACATTTCCTCATACTCACTGGCAAGAATATGATGCATGTCAATTTCCTTCTGCAATTTTGTGGACAGCTCCATTTGCTAAATTTTGCTTCTACTTGAGAACAGAAATCCAAGATAAGAACAGGAAAAAAAAAACTTTCGTGCTCTTTTTTTAACCTTAGGTCATCTTAGGTTAAAAAAAATTCTCCCCCTAGTGGTAGAGTACGTATTAACCAGCTTTGCATTAGTTCCTATGGGAACTAATGCTTCAATGTACGAACGCACCTCTACATAACAAAAAAACAGCCAGAACGGATTAATTGGTTTTCAGTCCATTCCCATGGGAAATTTTGCTTCAACTTAAGAATGTTTCAACTTAAGAACACCATTCCAAAACGGATTAAGTTCTTAAGTAGTGGTTCCACTGTAGTTTCTATGGACGGAAAAGAGCAGATACGGATTAAATGGTTTTCAGTGCATTCCTATGGGAAATGCAGATTCAACATAAGAACGTTTCAACTTGAGAACCACCTTCCAATACGGATTAAGTTCTTAAGTAGAGACCCCACTGTACTCACTGGCAAGAATATGATGCATGGCAATTTCCTTCTGCAATTTTGTGTGTCTGTTTACCTAGTGCTTTAAACAGAAGCAGGCTGAGCAAACTAGGGAGGAGAATCCCCTAACTGCAAAGACAAGAAAATAATTTCAGAAGTATGGAGGCAGGACTCCTTTTTAGCCACTCTGCTGTTGGAGCACCAAGATGGAAGACTAAACAGCACTAGACCTTGCTGCTGTAAGGAGGCTGCAGAGAGTGGACCTTGCTTTCTGGTCATGGGGAGAGTATTTGCAAATTCTGTGTCCCCTGGCATGTTTTCCCAGAAATCATATGATTGTATCCAGACCATACGGGGAGATCATTATAATATAAAATATATTTTTAAAATGGGGGTGGGGAAAGTATTTATTTATTGGATTTATACCCCACACTATCTGGCAACCAGGCCACTCTGGGTGGCTAACAGCAATATAAACAGTAATATTAAAAAATGATAAAAAAATAAAATAATATATAGCCAACAGGATAAATTAAACAGATGGCAATGAAGGTGGTAAAAAGGGTGATGAAAAGGATGGCAAAAAGGATGGTAAAAGGGAGACCAAAATCTCAAAAAATGGGTTTCCATGGTGAGATCCGGGTCCAGGCAGATGCCCAAGCTGCGAACCACACTCTTTGTGGGAAGAGTCACTCCCCCAAAGGAGAGGGAGTTTCCCAATCCACTGATGCCAGGGTTGCCCCGTGCAAGATTTCTGTCTTTTCCAGATTCAGCCTCAGTCAGTTTGCCCTCATCCACTCCAGAACAGTCCCCAAGCATCATTCAAGGGTCGGAACAGCATCCACTGCAGTTGGAAAAAAGGAGAGGTAGAGCTGGGTGTCACCAGCGTACTGATGGCTCAGGGCCCCACAACTCCGGATGACCTCACCCAGTGGCCTCATATAGATATTAAATAGCATTGGCGAGATGATCAACCCCTGTGGAACCCCACAATTGAGGATCCATGGGGTGGAAGTCATCTCGCCAAACTGCACTCTCCGGGGATGGTCATCTAAGAAGGAACAGAGCCACGTGAAAGCAAGGCCACCGATCCCCAACTTGGAGAGCTGTTCCAGGATACCATGGTTGATGGTATCAAAGGCCACTGAGATATCAAGGAGGACCAACAAGGACATATTGTCCCTGTCTGCCTCCCTCAGGAGGTCATCCTGCAGGGTGACCAATACTGTTTCCATACCATGTTGCAGCCTGAAGCACAACTAGAACGGATCAAGGGCATCAGCTTCCTCCAGGAGGGCCTGGAGCTGATCGGCCACCACCCTCTTGATCACTTTACTCAAGAAAGAAACATTGGTGACGGGCCTTTAATTTCCAATTTCATCCAAATTAGGTTTCTTGAAGAGTGATGGACTAGAACTCAGGAGGCCTGAGTTCAAATCTCTGCTCAGCCATGGAAACTCACTGGGGGTACAGGACTGTTAAAGGCACTCCTTAAATATCTCACCTTTAAAGTCCTCTTAGAGTGGCTATAACAATATTCTTCCCCTATGTGTAAGACATGGCACAGCTTTGCTATAGTTTGTGAGAAGATAAAATATTTTGCCTCTATCACTTTAAAGCTTGAAATATGTCAAGCTGTGGGGTTAATCCTGTTTTTTGGATTTGCACTAAGAAATACTTCAGCCTTTTAGGCAGTTCCTATTCTGTTGATTCAGGTGATGTATTTATCTTAATGTACTGTAGTTTACTGTCTTTAATGACAACATAGATGCCATTCTAGTCTTGTGATGGGAAAGAGACCGAAGATACAGAGATCAATACATTCATGCCTCAGTAAACAAACCAACATAGTGTCAGAGGAATTTTGAGGCAGACTCAAATGTGAAAATGGATCGAGTAACATCAGTAAAAAAGACACCACTATTTACATTATTATCACTAACTCTTACTACATGTGATGCACCCAGAGCTCATGAAACACCTTAATCCTAAAAATGGCCTTACAGATGTTTACACTTTTAATTACTGTGAACTTGTGCACATCTATTCTTATTACTTCCAACGTACCTCTGTTTCAAATTACCAGATGGAATTCAGTTAATACCTTTTGAGTTGTTCTTCCATTGCACTTCAGCTGTTATAATTTTTGGAATTTGTGTGGGTGAAAATGGGGATGTGTGATCTGTCAGAGATGTGATGGGTTCTCCTAATGTTTAAAGCAAATGCAAAATTTGCAACAACAAAAAGTCAATGAGAATTGTCTTTTACTGTGTCACAGGAACTTTTTTAGACAACTAAGTCAGAGAATCTAGTATACTTTCAGTTATAAATTACTATTCTATTAGTAACCCAAAAGCATACAAGGTAAAGTCCATTTCCTGAGGGCTTCATTTAGTACAGAAATATACTGAAATGGTGTTAAAGAATTATATTCCCACTTTGCTTTGAACAGGCACATTTTCATTCCTGATGGTGTGCAGGGCCAGTTCAAATCACTCTGCTTCCTGAAATTCAAGGACAAGATAGCACTCACCGAATTCCACACACAGAGTCGAACAGTCTTACTATCTGAACCCAACCACCTGCTCTTGCATTATAGTTGCTGCTATAATGTTTCTTTCTCTGTTTTCTTGCCTTAAAAAGGGCTTTTAGACAGACTTTTAGTAGGTGCATTATTTAGAGCAGGGATCTCCAAACTTTCCAGAGTGAGGGCCACAACATACATGTTCCAGATTTTTGAGGGCTGATCACGTGCACGTATACGTGTGCCTGCCCACCCACAATCCCATCCGTGCCCTGCCCTGCCTGTCTGCCTTTGTACTTACCAGGGCAGATAAAAAGGTGATGCAGGCTGGATATGGCCCGTGGGATGTAGTTTGGAGACCCCTGACTTAGAGGATGGCTGAAACTCTGTTGTGCAGATAGCATAACTTCTTAAAGTGATCTGTTGTAAATTAAGATGGCTCCATAGACATTATCTGTCACATATAGAGTCATGTGGTTCAGCATGTGACAGATAACACTTATGGAGATTTCTTAACCTATGGTAATTTTCATCTGGATGTTACACTGTGTAACTGCACAATAAGATTACAGCTGATATATTCTAAGGACATCAGAACTGTTGATACTGTGGGAGTACGTCTAAGGAATATTAGTAAGTTATCTAGAACATACTGTGGGACTCTCTAGTCATTGATTATAGCACCTTAACAGCAAAGTGAATTCAAAGTGAGCATTTTCTGTCATTTTTGAGACAGGTAGGAGTCTGTCAGGTGCTCTCTATTATGAAGAGAATGCTTTGTCCTTCAGTCCTCAGCTGGGGGAGTGTGGCCACTCTCTGGTACATCAGTTTTCAACTGCTAAGGAGATAATCTTTCCCAGCATTATAAAGTCTGATACTTCCCTGTTGACAATACCCTTTTTCTAATAACATTTTGGGAGTGTAATCAGGAATACGAATGTTTCAGAAACATGAAATGACCTGCTAGTGGACCAATAGACTTCTGAGCAGACTCTTAAAGTAATGGCTGAAAGGAAAGGGCTAAGAGGAGGAAGGGTATCAACGGGTATTAATAAGTTTTGACAAAGCATGCTATCAATATCCGTTTGTTTTATATGATGCATTTTACATTGTTCTGTTTTCATGGGGGAAAAACCCTTTTAATGTCTGTATAACTACAGCAACCCTTTAGATATATTTGACTTTGGGTGTTGTCTTAAGTTTCCATGTTTAACATGTTTGACATCAAAGGGCTGAGCATTTTCCAGCTGACTTTCCATGTGACTCAACTGTGGAGACTGGTAAAGCTGCTGTTTGTAGGAGTAGTAATAGGGCGGCAGTAGTGGAAAGTGTTGGTGGAGAGAACTTTTAGTGATATCATTTGTGAGTGGATGTGAAGCATCAGGGAGACCTTGGGAATCTTATCAGTGCAGCTGAGAGAAGGGGAGTGTTGAGGGGGAAGATCCAGATGAGCGCTGGGAGGAGGTCTGCCACCAGTGAGAAGTGTAACCAAAGTTTTGTAAATGAATTTACAGAGAGTCCCATTTTGCCTTGTGTGGAATGGAAGTCTGCTTTTCCTTGTCTGTGTTAAACTTCACACTCTCTTCTTTTTAGTTTTAATGCTATTTGATTAGGTCAATTCACTTCTTTTTTAATTCAATATTCTTATTATGTACTTATCTATTATATACTTTCAGGCTTTGTCAAGAGCTAATCTTGTTATAGGAAACATCGTTATGCGATGCATATTATTTTCTAAAAAAACACATCGTTATGCGAATTCATCGCTAAACGAGGCAATCGTTAAGCGAGGCACCACTGTATGATGTTTAATGTGATGAATTTTTGCTTGGCTGCAGCCAAAGTTCATGGAGGAAGGGTTTTAGTAAATTTATGATTAGTTTTAGTTAACAGCAGCACCTGCTAAGAGGGGAACACTTTCAGTGCTAACTATGCCGCTAGGAAATTCTTAGTTATTTTTATTTTCATGATTTTAGACTGATGGTAATGGAGGTCCTTGGAATAACATATATCTATGTTGTTGTTTTTTTGTATTTTGGATATTGATCATTGACCAGAATAAAGTTTATTTATCTACAAGTTGCTGTTTTTGCACAGCCTGTCTGTTCAGAGATGGATGTACTCACTATGACCCTGGTCTAGTGTAGGGCTTCATAATGTCTCCATAGCTAGGTAAACATACTAGCAGAAGAGGGACCCATTAGAAGGCACTTTACCTAGAATCCTTTCAATCTGTAGTTCATCTTGCCAGCTGGTGTTGGCTTGATACTACATTAAACCTACTCTTACAGTTTTGTATGGTCAGTACTGGCTCAAGACATTTTCCTGCTAGAGACAGAGCAGCAAATGGTGCTTGTTCCATCAAAATGTGTACATACTACCCAGAATGATCTGGTAGCCTTGTTTCCTGGGATACGAGGGTCCACAAGCAGCTCTCCCCTCTCTTCTTCCAAAGAAGAAGAATCAATATTTATTTATATTAAGCCCAAATAGGGATACAACATGGGTGGCAAGTTAGTTTCAAACATATGTATACTGAAAAAAGCAATAAAGCATAAAACCCCCAAAATTACTATCATTCTATTATAAAAATGTTAAAACATGACACTTAACTCAAATCAGTAGAGTTCAAATAAATAACTAGCTGTTAGCCTCATGGCGCAGTGGTTAAATCGCTGTACTGCAGCTAAAACTGTGTTCACGACCTGGGGTTCAAATCCCGGGTAGCCGGCTCAAGGTTGACTCAGCCTTCTATCCTTCCGAGGTCGGTAAAATGAGTACCCAGCTTGCTGGGAGGGGGGCAATGTGTAGCCTGCATAATTAAATTGTAAACCGCCCAGAGAGTGCTTGAAGTGCTATGGGGCGGTATATAAGCAGCACACTTCGCTTTGCTTTTTATCCAAAATCATCTGCCTGAGATTACTTCCAATTGGGCAGGAGTACAGTTGGCAGTGGTGACCATCCGCACACAGCAAGTTATCTCCATGCAGGATGGGAACACTGTTGAGTTGACCAGAACCATAGACTTGTCCATTCAGTAACTGATTAAGTGAGAAGGGCAAAGACTGAAACTGGGATCTTTCTGAATGCAGAATGAGCTGTTAACACCAAATCTATTGTCTTTAGGAGAACAAGCAATAATAGTCACTCAAGTATCAAAGAGCCATCAGCAATAAAGTCAAAGTATAAAACTCATGCTAAGACTATGGGTCGCTGAAATGCATCTAAACCAGTTTTGCAGTAATGAACAAACAAAAGCATTGGTTTCATTTTGAATAAACATGGCATACTCCTAAGGAATGCTTTGATGTTTTTCTTCCCTACTAAGGCTGATAGATTTCCCCGGATTAAATTCTTAGACACAGCAATGAAAAAAAAGACACCAACTGGTTTCCCAATGATGTTTGTGTCTGGTAATTAGATGAGAAAAAGAGAAGCAAAGTCATTAGATGCTAAATGGCATTTAAAATAAGCATTGAGTTGATTAGGGCATGGATGGAATTGGTTTCCTAACCTGATTTCTGTTTATGGCTATAGCCAAAAAAAGCTTGAGAATGGCAGGTGCAGAGCATATTTGGTTCACAGATCCAATTTATTCTTACAGTTTTTATTTTCAGGGTCTTGTTGAAAACAGACCCATTATTGGAAGCCTTCTCTTTGCAGTCCCACATGCCATCTGTTTATGGACTACAGAATGATGTTATGTTCATTTACGTATTTATGTGTCATGTACTGTATATTGTATTAATTACTTGTATATTGCATATTGGTTTACTATTGTTGTGCTTTGAAAATGTTGAATCGTAATACTTGGAAATGAATCAAGTTTGCAATAGTTGCGCTCACTTTTTTCTCTAACCTCTGCAGACGGTGTATAGCTTGGCGGATGTGTCCTGCAAATGTCATGGTGTATCTGGATCGTGCAGCCTGAAGACCTGTTGGCTGCAGTTGGCTGACTTTCGCAAGGTTGGAGATGCTTTGAAAGAGAAATATGACAGTGCAGCCGCTATGAAACTCAACATCCGGGGCAAGCTGGTGCAAGTGAACAGCCGCTTCAATGCACCCACTATCCATGACCTGGTATACATTGACCCCAGTCCTGATTACTGTGTGCGCAATGAGAGCACCGGCTCCCTGGGTACCCAGGGACGGCTGTGCAACAAGACTTCAGAAGGCATGGATGGCTGCGAACTCATGTGCTGTGGCCGGGGCTATGACCAATTCAAGACAGTGCAGACAGAACGCTGCCACTGCAAATTCCACTGGTGCTGCTACGTCAAATGCAAGAAGTGCACAGAGATTGTAGACCAGTTTGTCTGCAAATAGGTGGGAATGGGTGGAAGGAGCTGTTCTGGTCTGCCAGCAGCAGTGGTGCAGGGGAGGGGCGCCCCAAGAGGATCTCCGCTCTTATTTATATGCATCTGGCTCAGACTGTGCATAGTTTTATTTTTTGCAATAAAGGGGGAGGGGAGGGGACCAAGATAATATTTATTTTACACAATTGGAAATACGACTTTAAAAAGAAAGATAGAGTAGTTCAAAGGGAAGTTTGCCCTATCCCCATATAGTCTCATGAGACATAGTGCATATGGAGTAGATGAGGTACCTGTTGTTCCATGGTTCAATAGGAAAAAAACAGTCAGGTATAAGATTGATTGGTTGATCTATAATTTTTGACAAGAATTTTTTTCCCTCACCATTAGTTGAATGGCAACTTGAAGGTATGAGTGAAAGCACAAATTCTGAAGTCACAGGTGCGCTGCTAGGTGATATCTGGAGACCCATGAATTGAACATGGTGTCTTCTATGGATGCTTGGGATAGTTGTGAATATGTATTGTAGAGGTGATACCAGCAAAAGAAATGCCCACGAAAGAGTCCTAAGATGGCAAGTTGCCAATCTTCCATCAGCTCCACTCTGGCAATGCATTTTGTCACTGTTCTCAATAGAAAGAAGAAGGCATGGTTATTCATATGGGTTAAGAACAGTTCTTGTTTTGAATTATTTTCCAAAGCCAAGAGTCTAAAAAATGTGGTTTTGCTTTGTAGATCAATTCAGAATTTGGTGCATAGCCACATCAAGTAAAATATACATATATCACATCATACATATTTTAAAAGCCTTGACTTTTAAGAATATTGAAATGATCTGTGGAATTTTCTAAAGCGTGTGTGCTAGTAGTAACTGTGCTAGAAATTGCAGCTGTGCTGTGCATGCCGCCTGCAAAGTTCTTGCGAAAAAGAAAGCCAAAAGAATTGTTCACCTGAGAATGAAAGTGTTGTGGATAGTTGGTTTCATTTCAGACGTGGAATCTGACCAATTAACATTGGAGAATTTGAGCTGATGATACAGTAGCTTGATGTTTTCATAAGTGACTACTATGGTTCAACATGCAGTATGGCAGCAATACTACCCACTTTACCATCCTGTGTTTCTTTCTTTTTTGTTTTGTTTTAATGCACAATGCTTTAAAATATATTGCAGCTATGCACAAACTGCTCAGACTGTACTTGAGCTGTTTAGGTATATATGGGAAAACTATGATCTGCTGGTTTTTGGTATCTCAAACCTTTTAAAAATACATGTATGTTGTCAGTACAAACTACAAACCAGTAATTTCTTAAAAGAAAATATAAAAGTTACCAGGAATAGTTTCTGCGTTTAGGCTCAATATATTATTATCCGTCCCCCTTTAAAGGCAAAACAATAGGTATATGCTAACAAATCACTTTGGAGTTTTATTTAGGTTGGATTCTAGCCTCGTGTTATGGGGTTTCCTTACACATGTGTTCTGAATGGTAAGCCAGTCATAAAGTCTCTCCCTTCACTATCTTAAGATAAAATAGAATATCTTTAAACTGAAGGGGACATCTGCATATCTGCTGGTTGTGTACTTCGGTTGTGGGCAACAATGTTCTTTTTTGGAATCCTTGCAGAGACATTATTGTCAGTAATGGAAAAACACTTTATTTTTACATGAACTGAGGGCTAATTTTCATATTAAAAAATTATCTTTCTCTTACCACAGACATGTTTCATTTTTGTATTGTTTCCAATACCTCACCTTTTATACACCTTGCCTTAAAACTAGGAATGGGTTGGAATAAATGGCAGGTTTTCATCTTAGTGTTATCACACCATAAGCTTAAATTTCTTACCCGGCTGTGAGCTAGATCATTAACGACATTGTGATTATCAGCTTTTAAAATGATAATTGCTATTAATTTATTGTGCAAGGAGATATTTGCTTCCCTTGTTCCTGGTGTTTGCAAACCAATGTCAACTTTAATAAACAATAAAAATAAAGCACTAGTTCATTGAATATGTCACTTTTGGTTTTTATTATACAAAAACCATAATCCTTTAAAAACGATGTTGAATCACTTAACTTTTTATAGTGGCTCCTGTCTCTGAGCAGAAGTCTAATGATCCTAGCTATTAAAATGCTATTTAATGTAAAATATTTCACTTGTGTTCTTCAGATATTATGTAAATCTACTATGTTCTTTTCTTCTGTACATTTCATGTACATATTTTCATCTTGTGTGATTTGTATATTTCACTGTTTGTTTTAAAGGATTATGCCATAATGGAAGATAGACTATAAAAATAAAATGTTGCTTATATATTGGGAGGTAGTTTTATTTTTTTTTTAAAGGAAGGGGTTTATTTTTTTAATAAATGAGCAATGTTGATTTATTTTGTGGTAAAATAAACAAGTGTTCAAACTTTTTTTTAAAAAAATCACTGAAGACTAGTTATGTCAGAACTTTACAGATACAATAACATGCAAGCAAAAGTGAGTACTCTTGATAGAGCATTCAGGCCTATGCAAAATTCTACATGAATTTAGAAAATATTGTATAGAATCCTACTAGCAATCTTTTCCTTATCCAGCTAGAGGGGCTGTAGATGTGTGTATGTGTATCCCTAACTGGATGAGCCAATCTCTTTGGAAAAATTAAGATTCCAGTGATCAGTTGTTAGAACAGCTACAATCATCTTCTCCCTGCCAGACAATTAATCGTTGAGGTTTTTTTAAGTGCCGTGTGTGTAGGTCACTTGTTTCTGCACGTCATTGGACATCATTTCAATGTGCTGTTTTTCTTTTAAAGAAAATAGAGATATCCCAAATGATTAAAAAGACAAGGGTGTGTGTGTATGCAGAGAGAGAATCTAGCTGCTGTTGTTTCCTGTCTTTCAGGATTTTTTAACCTCTTTCCTAAACCCAGTAGTTAGGAAAATTAGTAAGCCAATACCGATGTAAATATGATACATTTAATGGGTTAACTTTTGTTGGGACTACCATTGAATGTAGGCCCATGACTGAATCCAATGTCATTCTAGTAAACTTTTGTGAGAACGATTTTCTTATCTACTTCTGTGCCCTGAAGCCCTCTAGGCTACCTGAAAATCTGTTCCAGAAGGTTTCCAGCCGATATCACTAGCAGATGTTGTTCTGTGAAAATGGAAGAATCCAATTGGATCCTTCAGTGTGTGTTAAATCATGTCAAGTCACTTCTGACTAACAGAAGTCCTGAGATATGTGAGGTGGTTCAAAGCGTGGCTCTACTATTGCCACTCTCCAGTGAGTTTCCATCAGGAAATAGATGTTCATTAATAGCACTAATTTTATGAGGCCAAGAGACGAGATAATGCTTCAATTTTTTCAGTTTTTAAAATTTTTGTTGGTTTGTATGCCCATCTTAGCTTTACATTAAGCATTGTCAAATTTGATTTAACATTCAGTGTCATGGGCACTTTATTAGAAATGTATTAACTTGTGGTCTTGTATGAAATAGTTTTGTGGATTTCAGAATGGCAGAACAGTTAACCTGAACTAGCATTTCTTACTTAAAGTTAGCATGCATAGAGGAATATCTGAGCTCAATTCTGTATTGGAAGAAGCAGGTAGGGTTTAAGGGGAAAACCATGATGAATATGAAGATGTATGTACACCGGTACATTCAGGACTGTCATGTTTCCTTGCATGTTTGGTTTCTTGACCTTTGCCACATCAGCAACTCTGATAAGCTGCTTTTTAAAAAAGGGCTTGCCTAAGGTACTGAAATTCCCTTTGGGTACCAAGAATGTGTTATGCCTCAAAAACAGAAGATCAACATGTAATGTGCTTTAAAATAGCACTTTGGGGTAAATGCCGTTTCTGTGTTTTGATTACTCACATCTGGTTCCATTTTTCTTCATTTGTATATTGACCAAGGTTCTTTAGTGCAAAAATACCGGCCTTCAATTGTGTAGGTCAGCATTTTTGGCGGACTGGAGTGTGTTCAAGTTCTTTCCAATAACAGGGAAAGTAACAAATTTGTATATTGGGAACGGTAGCACAGTTAAGTTATACACAGAAAGGAAATGATTTTAGGTTTCTGCCAAAATTATCTATTTTGGCTCATTATAGCTTTCTTAACCTAGAAGGAGGTTTATTCTTTAAAACTTCATTGTTGCTGGGGAAAAGATATTGCCTGCTCAGATTGTGTGCACAGTATTTGAAATTAATAAAACACTGAATAATGAATTAGAGAAATTCCTCTTTAAAATCAAAGATATATTTCCAAAGCCCTAACCTCTACAAATTTTAGGGATGGTGCAAGTTTGGAATGTTGTACAAAAGCATTCAGTTACCTGTCCTGAGTGATTTGCATAAGGTCTGGGAGAAAAAAAAATTTCTTTATGATACCCAATGTGGTTTAGTGCAGTGGTCCCCAACCTTGGGCGTCCAGATGTTCTTGGACTACAACTCCCAGAAGCCTTCACCACCACCTCTACTGGCCAGAATTTCTGGGAGTTGAAGTCAAAGAACATATGGAAGCCCAAGGTTGGGGACCACTGGTTTATTGGATAGAGTTACAGACTAGAAAGTCAGAGGCGTGTGTGTGCATGTGTTACTTTGAAAGGCTAAATCATCAAAAATGGTGAAAATGTTCAGGTGTATTTAATATGAAAGCCTGTTCACTAGTTTTGTTTTCTTTTTTAAAGCAAAAGCCAGGGTCAGCCGTTTTGACAAACTTTTAAGTAAAATGCCGCTACATTTCCCCTTAAAGTATAACCTTAAATTGAATGCTGAAATAATTTCTCCAAATTGCTTATTCCTCTGGATTTTTTTTAGTAGACTCCTTGAACCAATAGAAAAGTACGCCAATAATAGCCACACGCCTTCTCTCCCCCATGATTCTTATTAGTAATTACTAGAGATAAGATATTTGTATTGATCTCCCAGGGGAGTAATAACCAATATTGTAGTGTATACAGTACAAACATGTTTATGACTGGTTTTTCCTCTCAGTTATGCTGAATAACATTTCATTTGGCTCAGACATAATATTGTAGTGTATACAGTACAAACATGTTTATGACTGTTTTTTCCTCTCAGTTGTGCTGAATATCTTATTTCATTTGGCTCAGACATCCACATTCTGGTATTTTTGATCACCATGTATCGGTGTGAAATCTAGAAAGTTAAGAAAGCTGACAGGAAAAAAAATGATTTGTTTGAAGTGTGGTGCTGGAGGAGAGCTTTGCAGATACCCTGTATACAGTACAAACATGTTTATGACTGTTTTTTCCTCTCAGTTGTGCTGAATATCTTATTTCATTTGGC